CTCTCAGTCTCATTCCATGTCAGTGTTATCGACATTTTCGGTTGCGTTTGCTCAGATTACCCTGAGGCTCTGTGGTGTTCAGTCTTAGAGGGTATGCGGGGAGGGGCCCTCTGGGTTGGGGGTTGGGGGCTGCAGCTCAGTCTCGGTTTTGTAACCACGGTTGATAAAAATCAAGTGTTGTTTCTCTGCCGTCCAGCTTCTCTGCTTTCTGCCCTGATGACTGGGCGCTGCTGCCTGCTGCGTGGAGCTCACTGATTTCCGAGGCAGGGCTGTTCAGGGAACTCGCCACACCTTCTCCCCTCCCCCTTCTCCTACAGGGAGCTCCGCAGCTGCAAGAGACAGCTTCTTTATTTCTTCCAGTCCACAGCCCGACACCCAGGGTTCTGACCTATGGTAGCTCTTATGAGGCGATCCCACGCTCAGACATGCTGGTGTGAAGTTTGGGTGTTTTTTTGTTGAGTTTTAGATGTTCAGCTTGCTGTTGTTTCAAGGGGAGAGATCTGGGGATGTCTCTCACTCCACCATGTTTCTCCAAACTCTCAACTTAGTTTTAAGAGCAGTTTTAGATTCACCATGAAGTCAAGCAGAAAGTACAGAGATTTCCCATATACTCCCTGTTCCCACACACGCACAGCTTCCCCTACTATCAACATCCGGAACCAGAGTGGTACCTTTGTAACAATCAATGAACCTACATTGATACATCATTACCCAGAGTTTATAGTTTAATTAGGGTTCACTCTTGGTGTTGTATATTCTATGGGTTTGGACAAATGTATAATGACATGTATCCTCCATTATAGTGTACGATTCACTGCCTTAAAAATCCTCTGTGCTCTGCCTCTCATCCCTATCTCCCCCCAATGTCTGGTATCCACTAATCTTTTTACTGTCTCTGCAATTTTGCCTTTTTCAGAATGTCATATAATTGGAGTTATGCAGTATGTAACCTTTTCAGAGTGGCTTCTTTCACTTAGTAATATACTTTTTAAGTTTCCTTCATAAATTTTCATGGCTTAATAGCTCATTTCTTTTTAGCACCAAATAGTATTCAATATCCTGGATGTACCACAGCTTATTTATCCACTTACCTACTGAAGAACATCTTGGTTTCTTCCAAGTTTTGGCACTTATGAATGAAGCTGCTGTAAACACCTGTGTGCAGGTTTCAGTATAAATGTAAGTTTTCATGAGTCAATATCAAAACAGAAATTTCTCGGTACTTCTTTTCCAAGATAGTATCTTCATTTAAATAAAGAATAGTCTATGATTTCAAGATGAGCTATGTCAAAAACCATGACACTTTGCAACCTACTCATTTTATGAATCAGGGTATTCTCTACAGAAGGCAACCAAAACAAAATACTGAAATAAATTAGAAGCTGAAACTGGTGTGATAACATTATCATCCTTAACAACAGATTTCATGTTTTTGTGTTCATCAAAATCTCATTCATTATCTTTGTACTAAGTAATTATTATAAATTTGAATTTAAATGTAGCAATAAAACACAACTTTCTTCTATTTTATAGATCAGAACAGTGTAAGATTTTGTTGAAAAAGAATTTCACTGCTAAAAAATAAAAATTACATTTTTTAAGTTTGAAAATTATGATATAAATTGGCAAGGAAAGCAGAAAATGGGGACAAATATTGTACTCATAGGCTTGTCTTTAGAGGGCTCACTGTAGGCTGGCAGGATATTGTACCAGCATCTCAGGCTGAGGGTCACAGTGCTAAATTTTATGATCTGTTGGTGTTGGATGTCTTGGGGTAGGGCTTTTCTTACTCCTGTGAGATCTCAATATAGGGATCAATGGGGATATCAGATACATTGATTCTGCTCCAAGGCACAGGGATCCTTTGCTCTCTAAGGCCATACTCCAGTTATTAAATTAACAGTGAACATGACAGCAGTTAGAAAATGTTTTCTCTGGCCAGGCAGTTGCTTCCATGCAACAACATTTAGAAGAATTGCACAAATCTTTGATGGATAGCGAGCTGTCTCTGTAAGTCCCCTTCTTCCTTAATGACTAAAACTTAATCTCAGTCAATTCAGTGGGGCCTCAGCTTAGTCCAAGTCTCCCCCAAACCCCTCCCTAGTTTTGAGAGGAGTATATAGAGCCAAACTAGGACTGAGGAAGAAGGCAGGACATCTGGTCCTCAGTTGTCATCATCAATCTCTGTTAGCACCTACATTCTCATCTGGCATCCAGTTGTGTAGACTGTGCAAATAACAGCTATAGCCCCGTCATTTTGATCTTGAGGCCTCCTCAGGCACTCAGTTCTCTATCAACTCCTGCCTTTCCCATCTTGAAGGGCACAGAAAACATTCAGCTATTCTTCTGTAACACTCTAGGTGGAAAGAAAGGAATAGGTCACATTTGTAGCCATTTCCACTCTGCACTTACATCATGCTGAGTACAGGGGAATTTTATGAGGCGTGTCACTTTCCTGAGCTACATGGGAAGTGAGGCTCAGATTTCCTCTTATCTTGTATTCTCAAGACTTTCTGTCTTTCATGTCTCATCCCACTGCATCCCCCTACAAGGGGGATGTCTCCTCCAGTGGCTGCTGTATGTCATAAGAGTTACCTGGAAATAAAGTCATTTCTGATTCTATAGCTTACAGATCTCCAAGCATTCAAGCATTCTCTTTGTGCATAAGATCTCAGATATCATTTCTGTTAGTCAACAGAGGTGAGCTCAACCACTCCTCTTATTGGGGGACTTAGAAGCTTTGAACTACAACTGGCCAGTCCTTTATCCTTTTCCTCCTTCTTCAGCCTCTCCTTCAGAGTCAATGATTTCTGAGGAGGTGGGTGAATGGTCTTTCCTTTAGGGACTGTAATGGATTGAATTGTGTGTCCCCAATCTCCCCAATTCATATATTGAGGTCCTAACCCCCAGTATCTCAGAATGTGACCCTATTTAGAAGTAGAAATTATTGCAGATGTAATTAGTTAAGTTGAGGTCATACTGGAGTAAGGTGGGCCCCTAAATCAATGTGACTAGTGTCTACTTATAAAAAGCAGAAATTTGGACAGACATGCACACACACGCAGGGAGAATTTTGTATGAACATGAAGACAGAAATCAAGATGATGTGTAGATAAGCCAAGGAATCCAAAGATTGCCAGCAAACCAGCAAAAACTAGGAAAGAGGCATGAATCAGATTCTCCCTCACAGCTCTCAAAAGGAACCAGCACTGCCAACACTTTGATCTCAGACTTCTGGCTTCAAGAACTCTGAGACAATTCCTGCT